TTTCTGTGTTTTTTTCCTTCTTCGTTTCGCTTCCTAATTATGCTTCTGTTTTGTTTCGTTTGCTTTCATTTCATTCCATTTGGTTTCGTTTGCCATCGTTTGCTTTCTTTTGCGGCCGTTTGGTTATGTTTCGATCCGTTTGCTTTCATTTGCTTTAATTTTGATCCGTTTGCTTGTGTCGTTCTTTTGCTTGTTCCCATTTGCTTTGGGTTGCTTCCGTTGGCTTCCGTTTGGTTCCGTTTGCTTCTGTTTGCTTTCGTTCGCTTCCGCTTGTTTGTATGCTAACGACGGTTTCCTGCGTCTTGGCTCTTTTGTCGTCTTCTCTTTTCTTCACTGTTCCAGCCTTCCTCCTTTTAATGCACCTTTTTCTAACCTGGTATGACTCTCTCTCTCTCTCTCTCTCTCTCTCTCTCTCTCTCTCTCTGACATTTCTTGTTTTGATTGTGTCTCACGTATTAGAAGAACTGCTGCGATGCATCTTTGCACAAAACACATCCGGAAGATTCATTCCGATTTTGCTCATCCTATCGATGGAAGTAGCCTCTCTTTATTTCCCTGTGTACATGGCTGGAAAACTCTCTGTCTGTCTCTCTCTCTCTCTCTCTCACATACACACACACACACATACACAAGTGTAGTGTATATTTCCATGTTCTAGCGGAAGATTCATTCAAGTTTGTTCATCCTATGGATGGAAGTAGAGTGAGACCAACCGCGGGGTTGGACACTTATCTATTGGCCGGTGCGGTGCTCATCCTATCGATGGAAAACTGTCTCTCTTTCTCTCTCTCTCTCTCTCTCTCTCTCTCTCTCTCTCTCTCTCTCACAAACACACACACATATATTTCCATGTTCTAGCGATAGATTCATTCAATTTTATTCATCCTATCGATGGACGTAGCATGAGGCCAGCCGCGAGGTTGGAGACTTCCATGATGATATTTGAGGCGCGTATGTAAGGTTCTGGGTTATCTCTAGTTGGTAGAGCACCGCTCAAACTCAACTAGCTCCAACCGGACTCGAACTCAGATCTCTATTTCAGCAGTTCATTTCATGTGTTCACCAACTGAGGGTATACTAATACTGGGACTTTCCTCGATGTATATGAACGCTTTTCAGACCCGGACAGAATGCACCCAACCTGTATTACGTCCACAAAGAAGTGCAAGAAGTCCTAATATGAGTACGGTATGCAAATAGAAAAAAGGAAGCCCTAGCAAAAATGCTAAATTGCCAATCTGAAGCAAGAATTGTCTGCAAGTGATCTTTCACGGTGGTATCCAGTCTGCAAAGTGATGTATCATGGAAGTATACCAACTATGCAAGCAGATGGATGGACTTATTAGGACCGCCTCATCGTGAAAGACATCTTTCGAACAGGACATATTTGCTTCTCGTTAAAAAATGTGACACGTGTCCTTCTTTCTTATGGGTTGATCGGATCTGGCACGATCTTGCTACACGTGTCTTGCAGCGGACCTTTGGTTGGCCTGTGAGACCAGCCCCTTGGCCTATTCTCACAGGCCTGTGTTCTATTCGGGGGCAGTCCATTCCATTCCAGGCCGGTACCTCTGTCGGTACCAGCCAGTCCAGTCCAGTCCGTCAGTCTGCTGGGGTATACCCCAGCCATTGTCTGTTTTTCGGAGGATTCTACACTTGCACATTTTGGAGTACGTGCGTTGGAGTCTTGCGTGGGGAGCTGCGCTGTGCATCTTGCTTCCCCCTTCTTCCTCCATCTCCACCTCTATCACTAGCGGAGCAACACACCTGGTGGGCCCGCTACATTGGTATCGGAGCGGGAACGTTCCCCGCTCCCACCCACCACCCCGTATCAGTTGTACAACTGAGGAAAACAGCAAAACCCGACGGCGGGTTTTTTCGCTGTTTTCGGGTGTTTTTTCAGTGAAAACGCAGGGAAAAAGCGGCGCCTGCAGGAGGCGACACGTGGCGAAAAAAGCAGGCGCCACCACGAGCAAGGCCGTCGCACGCGCGCGCGCCACGCTGCCCCGCCCCGCCCCCGTATCATATCAATCAAGATCCGGGATGCATGCTGCCGCTGGGGTTTGAACCCAGGCAGCTGCTGGCCATGCGCGTGCGTATACCACTGCCATAACACACTCGCCACAAAGTGTCTATGGCCGTGTAGCACGGCACGCTCGTGTTAAAGAGGTGCCGTGCTGGCTATTTACCCCCCCCGAGCGGCGAGCAGCGAGCAGCGGCCAACAAGGCAGCGATGGGAGAGGCTGCTATTTACCTCCCCCCCCTTCCCCCTCGTGGCTGTTGGTGCCTGTGCACGTGGCCACCTGCAGTGCCACATGACACTTCGCTATGGACTTGAAAACCCCCTGTGTTTCAGGGGCTGCTCTACACCGGTGAGGGTATGCTCACACAACATACCCTAGATCTGCAGATTTGCAGTAGGGGCTGATCAAGACCTCAACCCCCTCCCTCCTCTAGCTGGCTGCTGCAGCGAAGGCCAAGACCCTCCTGGTCTTGGTGTACCTTGTGCCCTTGGAGACACCAAGGGCCAGATATCTTTTCTCTCTCCCCTTCCTTTACTAACCCACTCTCCATACCTCTCTCTCTCTCTCCTCTTACTCGTACCCCTCCCCCCACCCCACCTTTTCTCCCAACACCCATTCTTTTACTCTAGTTACTTCATCTCTCCTTTTCTTTCCTCCTTTTCTCTTCGCTTCTTGATCCCTCTCCACCTTTCCCCAACCCTCCTCTCCCCCAACTACCAGCACATCATCCCCCCACCTCCCACTTCATCTTTTTCTCTCTCCCACCTATTTTTTTTTTTTCGCCTTCATTTTTTTTATTCCCCTTCCCCCCTACGTCGATTTTTTTCTGTTTTTTTTTTCTTTCTATCTCTCTCTTGATTTATATATATATTTTTTTTCAAAAATTCGAAATATCTTCTTTTCCACCTTCTTTTCTCATTTTTTGATTTATTTTATTTATTTTTTTATTTATTCTGAAAATTTGATTTTCTTTACGGCAACCCTAAATCTGATTAGGTGTTAGTCTTTACTACTTTCGGCACACGTTTTGACCCCGTG